AGCAGAGAAATAGGGGCGGGGAGAAATCTGTTCCCAAAAAGCCATGATTTTCCACAAAGCGGGGCTTTTCCTTTTTATCCCCCGTTTTTGGTTGGTTGGTGTGTATTCTTGCGTCCGTGGCTGTTTTGGTGTTTCGACCACTCAACTGAAACGCTCCCGCAGCTTTGACGAGCTCTCTGACTAACTTATAAGTTGCGACGGTTTAACAGGTGAAACTCGTTTGCGTTGAGCTGAACTCTGGTTTGGAAAGTGACGTTCACTCCGGACGTCCATTACCAGGCGGGCAGTCGCAGAAATCGCGGCGTAAGCGCGGAGGGCGGCGGAGTGGAACAGAGAACCGTGGCAAAGGGCTCTGGCATTCTTATGACGAGCAATGCTAAGTCGAACAAAAATTCAGCCCTCTGGCAGCTTGCCGGGTTTGAGCGCGCTTCGTGCTGGTCTTGCTATTCGTGCTGGATCCGGTAGCAACGGTGCCACTCCACCGGCTTCCACCGGTTCTGAGAATTTGACTTTTCATTACCAGAGAGTGATCAAAAGGCACATGAATGGAGAAATAAACTTAGGCAAACCCAGTTCCTGGCCAGCTCTATGCGTATTTGGTGTCGCACGTAGCCTTTGGAGCGTTTAAATGTATAAAAATGTATAACTAAATAAACATTCAATATTTTCAACAAACATTCCACGTCACTTCCTATCGATGTACCCCAAACTCACCCTTCGCATGAACCCTCAAAGGTGCGCGCATATCTGATCCATATCGACAGGCAGCGGTGGTTCCAGGCATTCCGCGATCCCTCCCAATTCCTCTAAGTGGGCTTTCCCGTAAATGCGGCTGCTAGCCCTGCCACATGCATACGCCCCTCGAGTATACGTTCATGGATGATTCCTTGCTGGTGGCTCCACGTGGGGCTCGAATATTCCAACCCCGCGGGCCCGGCTGGTTTTTAAATAAATAGCTTTTAGTAAGGCAAAGCGCCCCGTAGTCATCAGGGCATCCAATGCAGCTGCCCTCCCGTCCAGGCGGTGAGCAGCATTCTACTTCTTATTGTATGGTTTCCCCGTGGGCAATGAGTGGCAAGATATTCCTCTGGGATGCACTGCGGAGGAGATGCAAACGCACCTCCGTATCTTGAACATCCAGACGGATCGGATTGTTGCTGATGCAAGATATCTATCATCTAGTCAGCTAACTTGCCACAACGAATTCTGGCTTAATTACGTCATTGTCCAGCCGTGCATCCTGCATTCTACATAAGTCTTATTGGCGTCCTCCTCTACAACAAACACCAGAGCGTTATTCTAGCTAGCGTGATCAGACAATGCCAACGCTCATGTGGCTCTGTAGCAGCTGATTGGGCACATTAATACACACTTGAGCCAACACTTCTTGCATTTTCAGCTGCCATTCTGCAAGCATCGCCAGTAGAGAACGGGGAAATGTTTATCCGGTATCTATGCCAAGACCATCAAAAACCCGCTATGACACTGAGCCGAGGATCTCTGGAGCTGAAGGGACAGAGATATCTTCGCCAGTGAGCGTTCTTGTTCTTCGCTGTTTCTGATATTTGCCAGGACTTGCGTCTTTACTGGGAGGGCTAGGCTATGAGATAGTTATGATATCATCTGGCTGGATATTTCATCGCCATCCCAAATTCTAATTCGTGTTCGCAATCATAAAATGATAAGCGCGACGAGACGCTGGCTTCGCCGCCATCGCAACGGTATAGCTATTGGCGTTGGTGTTGTTGGAGCGGGATACCTGGCCGGCCAATATGTCCTATCGAAGATATCGGAGACTAGAGAGCGCATGAGTAGCGAACGGATTGCTCGAGAGAAGTATGTCATGCAGCTACGAATCACCCCCCCTGAATCACTCTACCCACCTTGGCAATTACAACTCTTTTTTGTTTTTTTTTTTACCTCTCAGCTGACGTCCCTTTCATCCTGCCACGGTAGTCTTCGAAGGAGATTCGAACAAAACCAAACGGACTGCACTTTTACCGTGCTTGCCTTGCTGCCGACGGCCGCGGAGAATATTCTCGAGGCTCTACCCGTCGAGGAGCTGACGAATGAGTTGCAGCAAAAGAAGGCGGAGCGGCTTGCCAAACTCAATGCTGGCGAGACAACGGGATCCGATCTTAGTAGCTCAGGTGCCCCAAGCGCGACGGAGGATGATGGACGTAGTCTTTCAAGCTTCCGGAGCGAGGGGCATGTTCATAACATGGAGATCTCTTCGGAAGCGGAGACCCAGAAACCGAAGAGTAGAGCACAACAAGTGGAATGACCTGAAGATAAATTGTGAGAGTGAACCCGTTGAAAAAAG